CTCTCTCTCTCTCTCTCTCTCTCTCTCTCTCTCTCTCTCTCTCTCTCTCTCTCTCTCTCCTCCTCCTCTCTCTTATTGTCATAGTTATTTATTGAACTCAAGACCTTCATACTGAGCTATATCCCCAACATTTAAAAACTTTTTCCTTATTTTGAGACAAGGTCTCAATTAGTTGCCCAAACTGGGTTCATACTTGTGTTCTTCTTGCCTCCCAGAGTGCTGCGCAAAGTTTTTCATACCCAGTGTTTCAGTTGATCATCAGTGTGGTAAATACATCAATTAGTGCTATCTATCTTTGCTTTATAGATAAAATACAGTGGTGTCTCAGTTCATGAACTTAATTTGTTTTACAATTTGGGGGAAGATGGCTATGGTTCTGTTTTTCACCCAATGTGGAGTTTGCGAATGGAAACAAACTTTTGTCAAACCCTTTTGTTTGAGAACTAGATTGTGAACAGAAGCATTCATGAACCAAGGCACCACTGTGATTCCAATATGCATAGCTAATAATTGATGGGATCAGGATTAAAAGCTGGACTTTTCCCACTCTTAATCCAACATTCTATTATACTAGGCTATTGACAGAGAACTCTAGCAGTCTATAGAGAAGTTTCTCTTACAGTAAACTTGCTATGTCCATAGACAATTAGCTCTTGAAAGAGGTTCAGGAAGTCAAACACTTATGGTTTTTTTTTTGTTTTTTTTTTACCCTTATGGTTTTTCTTCTTCCTCTTGGCACACTCAAAAGTATCTGTGCATTCCCCTTTGGAATAGGAAGATGGGGCCTTGAGAGCTGACCCTGGGTCCAGCAGGAGCACTTAACACATTAATGTGACATCATCTCTAAATGTCCGTCCTGAAAGGAGAAAAAGTCACTGAGGACTATAAATTATTTCTTTTTATCTTTATTGTTTATTGGTACATTTTAGGTATACAACACAGTTACATTCATCACTGAGATCTTGTACCTTTATATGACTTACCTTGGTTCTTATTTTTCCCCATTCCCCAGTCCTCCCTTCACCCCCTCCACCCTTCCCCGTTTGCAAAGATATTGTTTTCATGTTTTACTTTTTCACATAATTTTCTTTCCCTTTTTACCTTTCCCCTACCCCTCCCACTTCCTCTACTCCTTTAGACCTTTTCTTTCTATTTCACAATATCAACTATAAATTTTGATCCTTATTTACACTTTTAGCTTTTCACACCAGATAAACTATTTGCTATTTATACATGTGTGACTTATTAATTTCACTTAAAAGTATGGCCTCAGTATGCATCCACTTAGCTATAAATATCTCTAGTTTCTTGGTCTTTATGGCTGAGTAGTACTCCATTTATTAAAAAAAAAAATCACATCTTATTTATCCAGTCTCTAGTTGATGGGCAATTGGGCTGTTTCCAAATTTTAGCTATTACAGCCCATGGGGTTATAAACATGGGTGAGTATATATCTTTGTGATATGATTCTTTTAATGATTTTGGGAAGATACCCAGCAGAAGAATATCTGGGTCAAATGGGACTTCTAATCCTAGTTGTTTGAGATATCTCCTTATTGATTTCCACAGCGGTTGCACCAGTCTGCACTCCCACCAACAATGAAGAAGGGTTTCTCTCTCCCCACAACGCCACCAGCATTTGTTATTAGTTGATTTATTTATTTATTTATTTATTTTTAATTTTTTTTGTACCAAGGATCTAATTTGGGTCCTTGCACTTACAAGGCAGGTGGTGGCACCACTGAGCTAAATCCCCAGCCCAAAGTTTCAAATTTTCTTTTGGTACTGGAGATGGAACTCAAGACCTTGCACTTAAAAGCCTCCAGCACTCCCCAGCCTTTGGTTGATTTCTTGAGAGCAGCCATTCTTTCTGGGGTGAGATGAAATCTCAGTGTTGTTTTCATCTGCATCTCTCCAATGACCGGTGCTGAACATTCTTTTATATGTTTATTTGCTGCTTTTAGTTCTTTGTCTGAGAAATGTCTGTTCATTTCAGATACCAGTTTTTGAATTGGGTCTTTATGTTTGGGGGTCTGATTGTTTGTTTGGTTTTTTTTTTGTTTTTTTTTTTTAGTTCTTTATATATTCTAGATAGTAGACTTTTGTTTGAGGAACAGCTAATAAAATTTTTTTTTCCCAGACTGGGGATTTAGCTCAGTAGTGCTGCTGCCTACCTTGCAAGCACAAGGACCCAAATTCGATGCCCAGTACCAAAAAAAAAAAATTTTTTTTTCCCCACCTTGTGGGGTTGTCTCTTAGTTCTGCTTGTGATTTCTCTGGCAATGCAGAAGCTTTTTAAAAAATGAGATCCCAGTTGTTGATTCTTTGGGCTAGTTCCTGTGCTACTGAGGATTTGTTCATAAAGTCTTTTCCTGCGCTGATATCTTCAAGAGTTCTACCTAATTTATCTTCCAGTAATAAGTTTAAGTGTTTCTGTTTTAATATTTATATCTTTAATCTACTTGGATTTTAGTTTGATGAAAGATACGGATCTAGTTTTAATCTTTGACAAGTTGAAATCCAGTTTTTTCCAACACCATTCATTTATTTATTTATTTATTTATTTATTTATTTATTTATTTATTTGGTACTGGGGAACGAACTCGGGTCCTTGTGCTTGCAAGGCAGGCACCAGAACCACTGACCTAAATCCCAGCCCTCAACACCATTTATTAAAGAGACTATCTTTCCTCCACTGAGGACAGTTGGCTTCCTTGTCAAAGATGAGGTAGTTGGGCCAGGGATTTAGCTCGGTGGTTCTGCAGTCTGCCTCACAAGCATAAGAACCTGAGTTTGATCACCGGTACCAAAAAAAAAAAAAGAGTCGCCCTATGGCATGTCAAGAATTGTTTCTATATCTTCTAATCTGTTCCACTGATACTTGGGTTTGTTTCTTTGCCAGTACCATGCTGTTTTTAATACAGTGGCTTTGTAGTGTAATTTCAAGTTGGGGATTGTGTTACCCCCTGCTATGTCTCTATTGCCAGATCTCTTCTGATTCAATGAATTTTTGGAAGTCCAAATGGATTTAAAGCTTTCTTTAGAATAACTACTTCTTCTAAAATTCTACTAATTCCATGTAATGCTTCCTTAAAGGTCAAAATTTCCCCAGCCACACTTCTCCTACCTGTAGGACTCTGTCATACTGAGATGTGCTGCCTTCTCTTCCCAACAGAATTATGCCAGCATCCATAGGGCAACTCCCACTGCAACTTTTCACCACCTTCTCCTCTCGTCACAGGTGGAACCTGAGACCCGGGCTGTGATCTGGTGGATGCAGTCCATCAACTTTGTTCTCTCAGCCAATCTCCATGGAGGAGCAGTCGTGGCCAATTACCCTTACGACAAGTCCCTAAGACATCAGCGCGAAAGTTTTTACTACACTACCACTACTCCCACGCCCGATGATATGCTTTTCCAGAAGGTATGCAGAATAGTGGTTTGCCCTGCCAGGGGAACTCGGGACTTGGGCAACAAGCTTCAAATAAGTGACACAGGACCCCCTTAGGAGCATTGTCATCTGAGTTAGGACTATTCAAGGTCATTTTCTGCCTGCTCTCCTTCTAGCTGGCCAAGGTCTACTCCTATGCACATGGCTGGATGCACAATGGCTGGAACTGTGGAGATTACTTTCCAGATGGCATCACCAATGGGGCTTCCTGGTACTCTCTCAGCAAGGGTAAGGAAAGTCCTGGCAACTGCTCGAGTTTGGGTAGACCAGTGCCCATTTCTTTCTTCGAATGACCAGTTTCCTCAAGGAAACAAGGGAAATGCTGTGGAATTTTATACTTCTGTAAAGAGCTGGAAACATGCAGAAATCTCAGACTGGCATTAGGTGTCAGCTTGTGACTCTTTACAAATGTGGCAGAGACACCTTGTGGTCCTATAGAACTGGTTGCTTACACAACAGATTTGGACCTGAGGGAAAATATGTGATGGGCCCAACTGGTGAAGGGTGTTAAGAGTAAATTGGGGCCTAATGTGGTGGTGCAGGCCTGTAATCCCAGCACTTGAGAGGCTGAGGCAGGAGAATTACTACAAGTCAGCCTGAGCTACATAGTGAATTCAAGACCAGTCTGAACAACATAGCAAGACACAGTCTCAAAAAAATAAAAATAAAAAGAATAAATTGGGTTGAAACTCCCACTTACCAGTTACGTGGCTTTGGACTAATTGTCTTTATAATTCCCTGTGCTTTAGTTTTCCTCACCTATAATTTAGAATAATAATATTTGCCTCAGAATTTTACTGGTTTAAATAAAATAGCACATGTAAAGTGTTTGGAAATGTGTGCATTATGAATATTAGGCTTTTAAAAGTAGCATCGAGTATGTTTCATACAGCAACAGATGAGCAAAGCAGCTGGCCTGGGAAAGACCAGTTCCCCTGGTCGCTGCCCTCTGCACCTTAAGTGCCCACCTCCACAGCAGGAGTTTGCTGTAGGCATGGGCCCTTGATAACAGCCTCAAAGGGAAGAAAGCTCTAGTAAAGGGGTTCTCTTTCTATTCCCTGGGTCTTGCCCATGAACAAGGAAAGGAAACCCCTGATTATGAACTTTTTGCAGCTAGAGGACCTAAGCATAGACAAGAGGCTCAGGCAGAAAGCCGGGCTTTTTTCAGAAATCATATTTTAGCACCTGTCTTCTCCCCATCCTCTCAAATCTCAACTGGCCTCAGCCCGGGTAGCGTTTTGGTGATAGCTGAGCTGATGGTCAGACGCATGAAAAACGGAAGGAACAAAGTTAAGGAATCACCATGTCTTGAGAAGGTAGATATTTTGTGGCGTAAAGCCCAGTTGAACAAAGGAAGAAGATTTTGTTATGCGCTGATTTCTTTAGTTTGTGTTAAGAAAGCAACATATATACCCTCCATACTGAAAACATCAATTATTTTTTTCAAATTACATTCGTTCTTTATTTTCCCGCTTCTTTCTCCCCCTCTCATTCTCTCAGAATGCATGACCCATGCCTCTGAGAAAGAGCACTCTGAATTAGGCTGGTACAATTCCAAGAAGATTCAGTTAATCGAAAATGATTGTCCCAAGAGTGGTCTTTGGCTACACAGCATCACCATCACCTAAGAACTCGAACCCCCCTCTATCCCACCAGAAACTCTGGGGTAAGGTCCAGCAATCCTTTCCACTGGAAGGCTCAAACCTCAAGTGATTCTAAATGGAATGGACCACAGTCACTGTTCTCCAACTTCGCCCTCTCTTTCTGTAATGGTTGCTTCCCCTGTCTTCTTAAAGAGCAAGTGAAAATTGGTTAAATGGAGAATTCTTTTTCAGTTTTTATTGTGGTGAAATACATGTAATACAAAATCCTCTGTCTCAATTTGAGTACGCAGTTTAGTGTTACTGCTCTTGTGTTGTGCAACCAACACCACCTATATCCATCTCTCTTCACCTTGGGCCCAGTCCCTGACAGCCACCATCTCACTTTTCATGATTATGATTTTGATGACGCTGAGTTCCTTGGAGAAAGTGGAATCATTCACTATTCGTCTTTTTGTGACTGGCTTATTTCACTTAGCGTAATGTTCCCAAGGTTTATGCATGTGGCAGGATCTGTCAGAACTTCTTTCCTTTCAAAGGCTGGGTAATGTTGCATTGTGTGTATTTGTTACATTTTGCTTGTGCATTCACCTACCCGTGAACACTTGGGTTGCTTCTACTGACTGCTGTGAATAATGCTGCTGTGAACCTGGGTGTGCACATATCTCTTTGAAATTTTGCTTTCAGTGCTTTGGGGCACATTTCCAGAAGTGGAATTGTTGAACCATAGGATAATTTTTTAGGGATGGGGTACCTAGGATCAAATTTGGGTCCTTGTGCTTGCAAGGCAAGAGGCAGAACCATTGAGCTAAATTCCCGGCCCTATTCTATTTGTATTTTTTTAAGAAGTTGCCGAACTATTTTCCATAGCAGATGCACCATTTTAAATTCAGTGCACACACTACTTCTCAGCCTTTTGGCTAAGATCAAGTGTACATTCAGTGCACACAGGCTCCGGTCCTCACTGACACTTACTATTCTTGTTCTTGTACGTTTACAGTCACCATAATCATAGGTTGTATCCCCTGGCAGTTTGAATTGCATTTCCCCAGTGATCAGTCCTGTTGAGCATCTTCTCATGTGTTTGTTGGCCATTTGTATTTCTTCTCTGGAGAAATACCTATTCAAATCTTTGCTCATTTTTAAGTAACGTTTTTGGTTTTGGGGTGTTAGGGGATCCATGTATTTTGGATATTAAGCTGTTATCAAATACTTTATTTATAAACATTTTCTCTCATTCTAAAGGTTGCGTTTTTCTCTATTAACATTGTTTGTTTGTTTTTGTTTTGTTTTGGTACTGGGCATGGAATTCAGGACCTTGTGCTTGCAGGGCAGGCAGTGGAACCACTGAGCTAAATCACCGGCCTTTACCACTTTTTTGATACATCAAATGTACCAGTTTTCCTCAACCCAATTTGCCCTTTGTTGTTTGTTGCCTGTGCCTTTGATGTCAGAACTTAGAAGTCACTAACAAGTCCACTGTCATGAAGTTTTGACCTATGTTTTCTTCTAAAAGTTTTATAGTCTTGGTTCTTACATTTAGGTCTATAATCTTTTTTTTTTTTTGGTACCGGAGATCGAACTCAGGACCTCACACTTGTGAGGCAGGTGGTGGACCCACTGAGTCAAATCCCCAGGCCTATAATCCATTTTTATAAATGGATGTAGTGTTAGCTCAGGGTCCAACTCAATTTTTTTTTTTTTTTTTTTTTTTTTTTTTTTTTTTTT